AAAAAAAAAAAAAAAAAAAAAAAAAAAAAAGTACATAAAAGTAAGGGCTCCCTCGGTCATGTCCATAGCTGCCTGGACGCACACAGAGGCTGCTGTGGCTGCTGGGACTCAGGCTGTGGCCAGTGGGCCTGGGAGTGGGGCAAGGCTGGCCACTGGCTGCAGCAGATGGGGGAGCTGACTTGAGACGTGGCGATAAGGGCTGTGCTGTAGGGTGGGGACTTTGAGATGCACAGTCCTCTATTTGGGGTGAGGCTGGGTCTTCCTCATAGTGATCCCTTCGGGCCAGCACCATATCACAATCTCCCAGGAGATTGTTTTGTAATAGTCTTGCTTAAGAGATGAACCTGCTTCAGGAATTATTGAAAATAAACTTTGGATTAATTATAGTCACTGTTTTGTGCTGATACATAGACAATCTCTTGCTGTTGTAACTCACTCTTAGCTTTTTTAAAAATTGAAAGCCAACGCTAGCAGAAGGTACATTTTGTGGCAGGGTCAGTGCAGAAGTTACAGGACTTGCTTCATGCTTTTGGACTCTTGTCTTTCTAGATTTATCAGTCCTGGCTAGACAAGTCCACACCCTACACGGCCGTGCGATGGGTCGTGACACTGGGCCTGAGCTTTGTCTACATGATTCGAGTTTACCTGCTGCAGGTAGGTGTGGGCTGATGTGAGTTGGCCGTGTCCATGTTACCTGGACGTGGTGCTGGTGGGGATGCTGTTGATCCAGTTTGTATTGCAGGAAATGGTCTGTAGAAATCAGTTTTCAGCTAAATGCCAAATGTCAGAAAGATCTCAGTGACTGTCTTTAACAAACAGGGTTGTTTATGATTCACCCAGAGTCCCCTCACCAGGCTTCTCAGTGTACCCAGGCGGTCCTGAGCCCAGCCTGGCCCTGCCCTGGGCGTGTCCAGGCCTGGACAGTGGAGCCGCTGTGTCCCTCTGACCCTGCTGCATGATGCTGAGGACAAAGTGGTGCTCTGTGGCTGCCTCATTCCTCGGGTGAAGAGTCCATACCTTGGGTGTCATGAATGATTTGGCATCCAAAGGGTTTATTTAGCCTTTCCTGAGTTCTACCTTATATGAGGCCAAAGAGGACAGTGCAGGTTGAGACGCTGAGTCACATAAGAGAGACAGTGACCAAAGGGGGTCTTGAGGGTTTCAAACCTTCACATGTTTTGGGGCACCCCTAGGTCAGGCGATGTTGTCTCAGACTTCACCTTGGGTGCTCCTTTACTTGCTAGTAAACACTGGGTTTCTAGGGGCAAACCTGCAAGATGGGAATTCTTCGTAGATCTTTAGAGGAGGTTAATCTTATGTGCAGAGCAGGGCAGGTTGAAAGCCTTGTCAGGGCTATTTTCTCCTCTGGGGACTGTGGAAGATACTTCCTTGTTTACCACCCTAATTGATTTTTTTTTTTTTTTTACTTGGAACTCGGTCCATTGTCTGATGGAAAGAATGACCTAGAAATTTTGAATCAGGGACATCAGGCAGGAGCAGGGGGCGGGAAGAGTGCAGCACCCACAGGTCAGTTTTACTATGTTCTTTTTTTTTTTTTTTGAGACGGAGTCTCGCTCTGTGGCCCAGGCTGGAGTGCAGTGGCACGATGTCGGCTCACTGCAAGCTCTGCCTCCTGGGTTCATGCTATTCTCCTGCCTCAGCCTCCCAAGTAGCTGGGACTACAGGTGCCTGCCACCTCGCCCAGCTAATTTTTTGTATTTTTAGTAGAGACGGGGTTTCACCATGTTAGCCAGGATGGTCTCGATCTCCTGACTTCGTGATCTGCCCGTCTCGGCCTCCCAAAGTGCTGGGATTACAGGCTTGAGCCACTGCGCCCGGCAGTTTTACTATGTTGTAAACGAAGCTCGTGCCTCATTTGATGTGCCTTCAGGCGTGGCCTTGCAGCACAAAGATAGATACACAGACATCCAGTTAACCCTCACATCTAGTGTTTAGCTGTAAGTCTGACTCGAAAAGTGTTTAGGCAGAAAGATTTCTTGTTTGTATGAGAAAGTTAAAGCGTTTATATTTATTTTTTTGGAGACGGGGTCTCACTGTTACCCAGGCTGGAGTGCAGTGGCGTGATCTCGGCTCACTGCAACTTCCACTTCCCGGGGTCAAGCGATTCTCTTACCTCAGCTTCCCGAGCAGCTGGGATCACAGGCATGTGCCACCACGCCTGGCTAATTTTTGTATTTTTAGTAGAGATGGGGTTTAACCATGTTGGCCAGGCTCGTCTTGAATTCCTGACCTCAGGTGATCCACCCACCTTGGCCTCCCAAAGTTCTGGGATTACAGGCATGAGCCACCACACCCGACTGAGACATTTAAGGCTTTTAAAATTGAGAATGCAGTTCTGGCTTCGAATGGGATATACTTAATCATTTTAAAACTGAGTTAGTTGCAAGTGTGCTGCACTCAGGCATCTTGGCAGAATTCTCCCACTCTGCGTCTCTTGAGGAAGGCTTGGCTTAAGCTCTCTTTTCTTGATTGCCCAGTTGTGGGTTTCTTCTGGCAAAGGTTTCACCCTCCTGACAGAGTGTGTTTGGCAATGGGAATTGTCTGTTGGAGGGACATCAGCTAGCACACCTCCAGTCACAGTTGACATTCTGTCTTCTGTTTCTGATGAACCTGCTCCTGCTGGGGACTCTGGGCCAGCATCGCTCAGATGCCTGGGCCACCTGAGCCTGTGGTGTAGCTTGAGCATGTGCTTCTTGAGAAAAGCCTCCTTTTCTGCTGCGCTCCTTATGGGGCGTCTGTGGCTTCGGGGATTACATGTGTCTAACTGGACCCTTGAAGAGCTTTGCTTATTTGTCCCCTTAGTCTCGGTACCCACAAAGTATAATTTGAGATAAGTTGTTACCATGGGATTTCACTGTATTTCATTGTCGTTGCTGTAAGTTTTGTGTGTTTTTAAGATCACTTAAAGTTGAGAGTGAACTAGAGTGCAAACATGAACTGACTGAGGCTGATGGATGGTCGGAGTGCACCACTGACTCTCTTTCCTTCTCTTTCAGGGTTGGTACATTGTGACCTATGCCTTGGGGATCTACCATCTAAATCTTTTCATAGCTTTTCTTTCTCCCAAAGTGGATCCTTCCTTAATGGAAGACTCAGGTAGGGTAGCAGCTGTGCACTGGGCTGTGTGGGCAGGTTGGGCCTTTCTTTTCTGATGGGATTGTCCAGTGTTCTCTGGAAACACCGGAGACTCTTCTCTTGGGGTTGAAATGTACTTGTAACGTTGGGTGATCAGGATACGTTTGTAGAACGACTCTTCAAACCCTCCTGATAGCCACGAAGTGGGTGTTCATTCTGTTTTCCCACTTTGCAGATGAGGAAACTGAGGTGTACTGGGTTAGGTAACGTGTTCAGGGTCACATGGCACCATAGACAGTAGGGGTCTGAGGCGGATGGTCCGACCCCGGCACCCGTCCCACCCCAGTCAACGGCCCCTTTCAGAATCCGTGGAGGCGGCCATGATGAGGTTACCTTTTCCCATAGCCAGAGGGTTCCACAGGCAGCTCATTGTGCACAGAGAGTGCCAGGACCCTGATGCCAACATCAGGTCGGGTCAGGCTTTGGGCGGCCTCCTCTGGTTTCTGAGGAGCTGTGAGCTGAAGTGTTCCTGGCGCTTCGTGCTCCATGCTTGGAAGACTCACGCTGCTCCTGTGCCTGCCTGGGCCAGGTAGGGGCCCTGAGTTCACGCCTGACTGGCCAGCCCCAGGGGAGGAACAAACAACTGCTTTCCAGGACGTCGTGGCCACTGCGGGAAAACCCACGTGCAGCTCCCTGCCAGGATCCTCTTCCTTCTGGGGGAACCTGCTGTCAGGGAGCAGGGTGCGCTCTCACTGTGTGGCCAGAAGCCTGTGAGTCTTCTGGGTAGGGTATGTGATGAGAAGATTGACGGGAACACAGCTCCTCTCATTTGTTGCTATTTGGAGGAGACTAGAAAATAACAAAGAGCCCCTTTCCTGTAGGCCTCAGTTTTCCCATCTGTAAATGGGGAGCGGCACTCGTCCGGGTGGGAGGTGGGGTGAGAGCGGGCTTGGCACAGCTGCTGGTGGGACAGGCCTGGCACCCGGGTTCCACGGTCAGCGCATCCTCTGCCCCGCCCTGTTCTCTGCCGCTTGCTTTTTATGTTAATTTGCCTTTGTTTTCTTTCTGTGCCTATACGTGGCGTAGCTGACGTGTTTTGGAGGTTTATATGTGGTTGAATTATTTGTGCATTGAAAGCGCATGGAAGTCTTTTTTTTTTTTTTTGAGACGGAGTCTGGCTCTGTCGCCCAGGCTGGAGTGCAGTGGCCGGATCTCAGCTCACTGCAAGCTCCGCCTCCCGGGTTCACGCCATTCTCCTGCCTCAGCCTCCTGAGTAGCTGGGACTACAGGGGCTCGCCACCTCGCCTGGCTAATTTTTTTTTTTTTGTATTTTTGGTAGAGACGGGGTTTCACCATAGTCTCGATCTCCTGACCTTGTGATCCACCCGCCTTGGCCTCCCAAAGTGCTGGGATTACAGGCGTGAGCCACCGCGCCCGGCCGGAAGTCTTTAAAAACATTCTGATAGCACTTTCTGAAAGCAGTGCACTGGATGTGTCAGTTGACCACAGACCCCCGTTTTCTCTTTGGTTAAAGACACAAATCTCAGTTTAGATTTGTGAGGCCTGCTAGTCCAAAGCCTTGAGGGGAAATGGTAGAAATGTGATGGAAATGAAAAGAGGCGCCCCTCCCTGATGGTTGCTTTGCCTTGCAGATGACGGTCCTTCGCTACCCACCAAACAGAACGAGGAATTCCGCCCCTTCATTCGAAGGCTTCCAGAGTTTAAATTTTGGTGAGCTAATTCTTCACGGTATTTGAGAAGGAAAATTGGGCTCAAGGGTGGCTGAGACTGAGACTACACTGATTCTGGTTGAAGTTTTGTTCAAGTCACCCGAAAGATGACTGCTGTGCTGGGCTGGGCACAGGGGGAATCACAGGGGCTCTCACTGGAAGGCCACTCACTGCCTTGCCGCGTTCTCTTGTTTTCAAGTCAGCACCAGTGCCCCGGAGGCTGGCGGAAAGGAGGCTGACTCTGGGATGGAGTGCGCACTGGCTCCTGTGGTCGTGGCCTGGGGAGGGCAGGCCCTGCGTCCAGTCTCCGTCCTCCCTCCTTCCTCTCTCCCATCCCCAGCCCTGTGGCTCCCTGTGGCTGGCAGAGGGGGACTAGCCTTCTCCTGGAGTCATTTTTGAGAGGGGTCTGAGCCGAGGTGCCTGTATCTGCACCGGTAGGCAGAGGTGGGTGGCATAGCCGTCAGAGGGATGGGAGCTCTGTGGCTGCATCTGTTTGTCCTGTCCCTCATACCCCACCCTGGGGGCACAAGAGGAACCCAAGTCTGTTGGATCAGTAAAGTGAAGGAGCCTGCTGAGCTCGTGGGGCTCCACACCTTGACTTTGCAGCCCCAGATGGAGTCGGGGACAGAAAGATCAGGGGCCCTGGAAGCCACCAGAGGCTTGGACTAGGAAGGGAGAGCTGAGCCTCAAGGGCGATGGCATCTCTTGGCCATGTGCTGGGGCGGGAGGGAGCACTGGTGGCCATGCCACAGTGACAAGGTGAAGGCCCTGGATGGTCCACAAGACACAGCCTGGGTTTCTCTCCAGATCACAGGCCCAGCCAGCAGGCATGGGGCCCCCAGCCTCAGCACTAATGCTTTATACTTCGTGTAGTTTTAAGAACAGTTGTACGTTTCAAGGGAGTAAGAGAAGGAAGTCTCTGTGGTGAGGGCAGTACAGTCCATTTCTGTGAGCTACTTGCAAAGGGTCATGCTGCTGCTGTGCCCAGGGTAGACCCCTCCTTTCCACAGGGATGCTTCTGTTTGCGGGGACGGTCGGTGCAGCTGCAAGGCTGGAGGTGGCCGGCAGGTGCCCGGTGCTGGCTGCAGATGCTGCGCTAACCTTCTCTCCCCACTTGAAGGCACGCGGCTACCAAGGGCATCCTTGTGGCTATGGTCTGTACTTTCTTCGACGCTTTCAACGTCCCAGTGTTCTGGCCGATCCTGGTGATGTACTTCATCATGCTCTTCTGTATCACAATGAAGAGGCAAATCAAGGTAAAGCAGAGGCACTGCCGCCACGCCGGCCGCAATCGCTGTTCTGTTACCTGCAGCATGGGGGAGCTGTGGTGGGCTGTGGCGGGTGGTGGCAGAGTCTGCCTGGTGTGAATGTGGAGCTCAGTGGCACTGTCTTGTGTGTGACGAGGACACTGCTCCGTTCCCAGCACAGCCAGTGAACTAAACGGAGAGCGCATCTGTCGGAGTGGGTGGGCTCTTGATGGAAGCTTTGTGGGAGCTGAACGGGAGAGCCCCAGCATGTGCAGTGTCCCAGTGGCTCCTCTTAGGGGGCCCAGCGCCCTGCGCCAGCCTGCCTGAGGAGGGCGGCATTAGGGGGAAATTAGCTGAGACTGCTGACTGACCCCTTGATGGCATGGCCTTGCTACTGCGGGCCTTACTCTGTGCCTGGGGTGTTGGCTGCAGAGGGCCCTGGGCCACCTCACATCCCCCTTGCCCTTCCTCCATAGGAGGCTCAGGAAACACTGGGATTGATGGGGTTTCAAACCTAGGCCTCGTGGCCTATGGAAGGCCTTGCTGTGTTGACATGGGCGCAGGAAGCCACTGGGGCCCCGATTCCACTTGTCAGATGTATAGAAAAGATGGGGGCCTTTGGCCGCTCCCATGTGGGGATAGTGTGGCTGGCCGGAGAGCGCTTGTGCAGTGACTGAGTCTGTGCTTCTCTCCCCAGCACATGATTAAGTACCGGTACATCCCGTTCACACATGGGAAGAGGAGGTACAGAGGCAAGGAGGACGCCGGCAAGGCTTTTGCCAGCTAGAAGCGGGACTGAGGCTGCCTCACGTGTTGCAAGAACGGTTTTGAGCCATTGTTAACAATGCCTTTTTTCTTCACATAAAGTAGTTGATTACGAGGGAGTTGAATTTTCTTTTTAAAAAGGAGCTTCAATGATTTGTAACTGAAATATCAGGTTCTTGAAGAAACTGGCACTTAAACCAAATCGCATGGATTTCTTTTTCAGTGACGTTCAAGTGTTTCTCACGGATGGAATTCTAGTCAGCTGCAGGCGGGTGGAGCCCATGGGAGCAAGGGCGAGTGGCCGGTCCCCCCCCGGTGCCAGGTGGGCAGGCAGGAGCGAGGCCTGCGAGGGAGGAAAGGGCCGCTCCCCGCCAGCCGCCTTCCCCACCAGCCACAGGTGTGCCAGCCACTCCGCAGAGCCCGAGTGATGATCTAGCCTGATTCCTGCGTGTCTGAAAGAACTTAACGTTTTAAAGGTGATTGTCAAGTAACTGTGTGGGGTTCTAATGCCAGTTTCCTAATCCATCTCACTGGAGATGTTTAAAGTTGGCCTCTATCCTAATGACTCAAAACTTTGTTCTTAACTACCATGATTGCTTTTGAGGGCCCAGAATTATAAATATATATTATATTTTAATTGTTTGAGATTATTTTGACACATTTCTTTGATATGTAAAGTGTTTTGTTTTTAATTTAAATCTGTCATCATGCAACCCCCCGAGGGGCAGCGAAGCTGGCGGGGAGCAGACTGGCTTTGTGGGTTCGGCACTCGGCACCCCACTGCGGGGGGAGAGGCAGAACCCACGTGCATGTCAGCGTTTTTGATGTGATAAAATACTCAACATCTTACCAAGTGATTTTTAACTCCACCTTTATTAAGGTCTTATCTAAAACACGACAGTCGCTGGACACAAGAAAGCCCAACTTCCGTTTGGCCTTTCCAAAAGGTGAACCCATTTTGCCAACGGCAGAACATCATAGCTGTGGTCCCAGACGAGACACAGATGCGAGGGAAGGCCTCTCCTGGGTCCCGGGCTGCTCAGGCTCCTCACTCGGGGCGGTGTGTCCTGTCTTAGAATTTACAGGGTGAAAGATGATTGTCTGGATTTTCTTGTGCCAGTATTTGCATATTCGACATTGAGCTCCTCTCTTAAGAGGCCACGTTCAAGCTTGTGGGTCCCTGGCCCAGGATAGCAAGGGCTGCTCCCAGGGGGTGCTTCTGGTACTGTGTTGAGACACTTGCATTCTCAGACTCCAGACAGCAGTGTCTGTCACTTTCCATACTGTTTTCCTAATAAGCGCTCAGGCCTAAGATGTGACAGGAGGTCGCGTGCACTTGGCCCGAGCACAGTGTGAATCGAAGGACTGGGTGCTGACGGATGGAGCCACGGTGGTATCTGCCCACCCAGCTGCAGCCCCCCAGTGCCTCTCCTGGTGCTCCTCCCAGTTTAGAGGGTCACAGCCTCCCCACCCCAGCCCCTGGTAAGCTGACCTTGACACACCCGGGAATACAGGGTCATCCTCATTCCTAAGTCAAACAGCAGGACATGGTCTGCGGGGGTCTTTGCTGGAAGCTGGTGCTGCTGGCCAGGCCTCGGCCTTGCCTACAGGTCAGTAGGGAAGTGTGGCATACGCCCTCGAGGCATGTTAACACTGCGCTTTAGGAAATCTCAAGTTCCATCTTGTTATTAATGTGCCCACATTTTGGTGTAGTTAGTTTATTAAAGATGCCTATGGTGAAGTCTCTGGCACAGGTTAAATGCAATTTTGAAAACCTGGAAATGTCAAATGGAGGCAGGAAATAGGCTAGGGCCGAGCTGAAGGGCTGAGCACAGCAGTGACGCTGGGTCAGCAGGTCGCCTGCCCAGCGGGCCCCCAGGAGAGGGCTTGGGCGCCCCGGCAGCCCCCTAATCCCCAGGACCTGGCACGTGAGTGCGTTTGGGTCAGGAGGAGAGCTCTGTGTGCATGTCAGGCCCGAGATGCAGATTTCTATTTTCTGAAACTGGAAGCAGCCTTGATGTGTTTTGAAAGTGTGTGCCAAATGCTTCAGACGGAGGTGCTGACCTTGGTTGGTTTCTCTCTGCCCAGCTACTCTGGGGGCGAGCCTGACCGCCTCCGATGGGGGCCGTGGGGCTGCTGTTCTGACCACACTGGCTGAAGCAAACCGCCAGCCCCCCGTGCCCCCTCCCAACTCAACATGCACTCATTCAGTCCATTGCCTTAACACAAGCCTGATGGAACCATTTTCTCACAATATAAATGAATAAAGTGTCTTCTGACCTACTTCTCAATTACTTCTCAACTGTATGGTTTGGGGAAGGGAGGGAAACCTAAAATCCTGTCCAAATAAGTGAAATTCCTGAAGAAGTGGCTGAGTCATGCCAGGTTGGGGTTAGCGCCCCTCCCAGGGCTGAGAAAGCACAGTCAGGGACAGCTTTCTGTTCTCTCCCGGGGTGGCTGGGTTAGTATCTTACATGATAGAAAACCTGTGAGAATGTTCTAATTTCTGTGCAAGTAGGGTTCATCTTGAGACTAAAATCTTGCGTTCAGACTTCCGTAGAAGTCATCTGTGTCCAGGCCCACCTGGGCGCCGGCTCAGCGGTAGTGCCGAAGGTAGATGAGCTTCTGCGGAGGGAACTTCTCCCGGCAGAGGGGACACTCCGCCTGCAGAGAGGAGGAAGGGGTCACAGCAGCTGGGACCACTGGGCCATGCCCATCCCCATCGGCATCTCTTGTCCTGTCCACATTCTCTGCCCATGACATGGAACATAAATGTTGTATTTCCTTCAACTAATGACCAAGAAAGCCAGCCTTTTTTCAGAAGGCCGAGTCCCAGTGGGGGCCGGGGCAGGGCTGGGGGGTGGGGCTCGGCTGGGAGGTTCCCTCCTGCTCTCACAGCTGACACAGCCCAGGAAGCCCAGCTCCGGGAAGAGGTGCCACTCTCACCCTGCCGGCATCTTCCGTGGGTGTGATTCAGTGTGCCAGGGTTTCCAAGTGTGGTGAGGAGCCCAGGAGGAAGGGCATGCTGGGGTGCATGGGGGAGGTGTGGGGCCTTTCAGGGTTGGCCGCTGCCCCAACCTGTGTTCAGCAAAGTCTCAATACGCGTGAATTTGGAACTTTAACCCCCACAACGACCCCACATCTGACCTACCTGGGAGCCTTTAAAAAGACCCCCATCTCTACCCTCAACCTGAGGGGCGCTCAGAGCCAGACCCCCCACTTCTCCTGCAGCCAGGTGGGCCTTTGTTTTGTTTTCTTTTGAGACGGAGTCTCTCTCTGTCGCCCGGGCTGGAGTGAGCGGCGCGATCTCGGGTCACTGCAAACTCCGCCCCCCGGGTTCCCGCCATTCTCCTGCCTCAGCCTCCCGAGTAGCTGGGACCACAGGCGCCGCCACCTCGCCTGGCTAGTTTTTTGTATTTTTAGTAGAGACGGGGTTTCACCGTGTTAGCCAGGATGGTCTCAATCTCCTGACCTCGTGATCCGCCCGCCTCGGCCTCCCAAAGTGCTGGGATTACAGGCGTGAGCCACCGCGCCCGGCCTTGCCAGGTGTGTCTTGCCAGCGCAGCCGCTGAGCCATCTCAGGACCCCAGCAGGCTCCCACCTCACCTTGCTGCTGCACCACGCGGTGATGCACTCCCAGCAGAACAGGTGGCCGCAGGGCGTGGCTGTCGGGTGCCTGCGCTCCTCCAGGCACAGGGTGCACAGGGGGTTTCTGGAAACCGCTCTCTCCTCCAGGGAGCCCCTGGGGAAAGGGGGGCAGAGCGTCAAGGTGGGTGCAGCTCACAGGTCCTTGTGAAGTGCAAAGGACACCCCCAGCCCCCATGTGTGGCCCCCGCGTGCACCTGCGGTGAGACAGGCCGCGGTGCAGCCTCCACTCCTTCCTGGCTCGCTGCCGCTGCCTGAAGCCATACAGCTGCAGCCCCACGGACAGCACCAGGTGCAGCAGTGAGACGACCCCCAGCAGCCTGTAGCTAACACGGGCCCTCAGGTCCTCTCCGGGCAGGCTGCGGACACGGAGCTGTAAGGCAGACAGTGTCACACCCATCAGGACCCTGAGGGGATCTGGCCTCAGCACCTGCTGGGACGGTCAGTCTGCACGGAGCGTGTTAGAACCAGGCCTCTCCCTGGCACTGGGAGCGCCCGGCAGAAACCAAGCCAGGGGGAGGTTCAGGGAGTCTGAACTGCTTCACAGCCTAGCATGACGGAGAGGCCTGAGCTCCAGACCGGCCTTGGCATTGTCAGCGCAGAGGGAGTCTTAGCGCTGGCGGAGAGGGTGAGGACATGGGGATGTCCAGGGACCACCTCTCAGAAAGGGATGGGGGTGGAGCAGACATGTCGGGCTGTAGATGCTGCCCACCAGCCACCCTGCTGCAAGGCACATGGCCCTAGGGACCCTGCTCCCCCCCTCATGCTGCTGGTGACGTGTGTAGCTTCTGGCCGTGCCACTGAAGGACAGCTGGCTGCCCTCGGCTTCCCGTGTCCCTTTCCACTGGCTGGGAAATGGAGACAGCCAGATGGCCTCGGCCCAGGGCTGGGAACCACATACAGAGATGGCAGGTCACACCACCAGTGTGGGCCCTGGGTGTCCAGCCACTTCCTGGCTGTCCTAGGAGAGAGGGAGCCTCCCAGCTGGTTTGAGCCCCATTTCCAAGCCCCTGTCACAGCAGCTCAGCAAATCCTCACTCACATGGACGGGGCGAGGAACCGCGTCAAATACGCGGGAGGCTGGGAATGCTAAGAATGAAGACCCGACCACTGGCTCTGTGGCGAGGAGATCCCTGTGGCCTCCTGTTTAGGGTGTGTGGAGGTGGGGTCGCCTGGCAAGTGGGGGCTGAGGGGCCCAGTGCAGCTCTAGGGACGGAAGAAAGGGGGTTCCTCAGAGGGCTGTTCTAGAAGGAGCTCGTGCAGCAGTGGCTCTGGTGGGCCCGAGTCTAACGCCGTGGCAGATGCACATGGTGTCAGGACCACTGGGGAGGCTTCGTTGCTGAATCTGGAAGCAGGAGCGTCAGCTGGGGGTTAGGATGGGCAGAGGTGCCGACAGCTGCGGAGGGGAGAAGGTGGGAACGGCCATCTGATGGGGTAGAGTGCTGGGCCAGGCACGGGCGAGGGGTGAGGGGCTGGGGCTGGGGCTGCAGTACATGCTCCCACACACTCTGGGAGAAGCTGCTTGTTCCTCACAGCAGTGACATGGGCAGTCATGGGCCAAGGTTCAGGGATCTGTGGTGAGGCGTGACCCAGGGCCCCCGGTCAGTAAAAAGCTGAGTGCAGGGCCTGGTGTCCACGTGGGCTGCAGCAGGAGCCCATTCTGCCCTCAGGGTCTGGACTTCCTTGGATCTTTCAGCCAAGTGTAACTAAACAAAACCTGCCTTTTTTCAAGCAGAGGATTTGGGTTCCTGCCTTGACACAGGTTCTGGGTGTGGAACCCTGTTGGCTGAGAGGCCTGGAGGGCCAGCTCTGTGCACACACCCAAGTCCAGTGGGGGTGACAAGGGTGGCCGAAGCGGCTGTGCCCTCAGCACCTGCTACTTACGTACGTGATCCCCGTGAGCCTCTTGGCCAGGTGGTAGAAGACACCGTGGATGTAAAACCAGGCAACATGTAGCCGCTGGAGGCAGGCGAGGCCCTGTCTGAGGACGAAGGCCGCCCGCAGCAGCGCCCTCCTCTGTTGCTCAGTCAGGGTGGCCGTGTGGCGCCGCACCCAGCGCCGCACCCCTGAGCAGCCACGCCCGCCTGGCACCAGGCTCCCCTGCGAAGGCCGCCCACTGTCAGGATCAGCCTGCAACTCCTGCTCTAGGGGGAGCAGGACCTTGTCCAGCAGGTAGGGCAGGACGGCATGCAGCGTCACCAGCACGCCACGGCGCAGCCAGGAGGGCACACGTGTCTGTGACGGGTCCACCTGGACGATGCTGACGTACTCCTCCCCCAGGGTCTGGTAGCCTGCGAGGAAGAGGATGGGTATGTGGACCCTGAGACTGCTGCCTCGGGGACAGGCTCCCGGCCCCCCTGCCAGCCGACCCTCTGCTGGCTCCTGTCAACAGCGCCATCTTGTCGCCCTTGAGTCCACTGCCACCCTGTGCTGGCTGAGGCCAACATGACCTTCTGTTGCTAAGCCCACTGTGACCTCAGGCAGCACATGACAGGCCCGGCCAATGGCTGCCCTCAGCTCCTGGAGCCTTGGCTGGTCGGTGTCCAGTGTCCTTCCCTCTCCTGGCTTCTCCCCAGGAGTCTCTGCTCCTTCCCCTTTTTCCCTAGCTGTCCCCACCACCTCCCACAGCCCAAGCACTCAGATCCAGTCCCATGGCTCTCCACCAACCGCACAGCTGGCACCACCCGATTTATGCCCAGCCTGGACCTGACTCTTGAGTGCCAGCCATCCAGTTCCGTCACCTACCTGGTATCGCCATGTATCCTCAGATGAGCACCCCCAATTCCATCCCTGCCAAGACAGCTTCCAGTTCCCCCACCCGGAAAAGTCTGCTCCCCCTTCCCATCTCTGTGGATGGCGACACCAGGCCTCCAGTTCCTGAGGTCAAGCCCAAGGGGCGCCCTGCATGCACCTTCCCTGCGTGTTTCACCCCGTCACTGCCGCCCCTGCTCTGTACCACCACCATCCCATGGGGGACTGTCAGCCTCTGTAGTCTCCCTGAGCCCAACTTTGTCTCCTGAGGTCTGGTCTTAGCCAGTGGTTGGCCGCTCCCCTGCCCAAGTCCCTGCAATGCCCCACGCCTTGCACAGGGAAAGCTGTGGGCTTAGAAAACCCACGAGCCCCCCGGGATCATCCCCACAAACGGCCAAGGACGTGTTCTTCTCAGGGCCTTTCCCAGCTGCTTGCTCTGCTGGTCTGGAAAATGCTCTTCCCCAAGACGTGGTCTTTATCTCTAAGAGCCCCTCAATTCCCAAGATGCCCTGTGACGCAGCCACATCTGTCTCCTACCCACCGAGCATGCCACAGCCACAGGCCTGCCACTGCGCCGCCAGGGCACTGTCACATGAGCACTGCACACTGTGACACAGCTCAGCACTGTTGCTCCACCAGGGTACTCCGACAGGGGCACTGCACCCTATGACATGGCTCAGCACTGTGACTCACTTGTGCTACCAGGGCTGGCCACTGAGAAATGGGTCTCAATGGCACCCGGGTGGGTCCCCAGGGACACACAAAGGCTGGAAAAATGGGCTCCCTGCTGGGAGCTGACGCCTCGTCTCCCTCGGAGCAGCACCTCCTGCACTTCCCTGAGGCAGCCTCACCCGGGCCAGCTCCAGGAGCTTCTCACACTGCTGGGCAGCCCCCTGGCCACTGTCCCCCGGACTTGGTGTGTGTGGCTGCCCTCAGTCCTGAGGACCAGTGGGGGCTTCTACCTGCAAGTGTGGTGAGGCCAAAGTAGGCCACATCTGAGAGCAGCTCAACCTCCTTCCTCCACTCCAGCCACTTCCTCGCACCTGAGAGGAGAAACAGCATTAGTCTGGGGCAGCTGGTGGGCATGCCCTGAGTATGAGGGACCACAGTCCTCCCCGGAGTTGTCTAGGCCCAGATCCAGTCCCATCCCCCAACTCCCTCTCTGCTTCTGTCTCCAGAGGCACCACCTTGTCTCCACCTTGACCTGCCTTAGCGTGAGCTGCAGACAGTCTGCTAAGAACCTCCCACTTGCGCCCATCTCTCGCTCTGGGATTCCCCTGAGCAACCGTTCTAGGGCCTATGAGGGCAACATGGAAAGACGGTCTGGGGTAGTAAGAGTACAGGCCAGAGGCCAACTGTCTAGCATCAAACAGCAGCTCTCCAACTTCCTGGCTGTGAGATCTTTCTGGAATCTCAATTTGCTCATCTATCAGAAGAGTAATAGTAAGTCCTACCTGTAGGGATGTTTGAAGATTCAATGAGTTAATATTTGTAAAACACCGGGAACAGTGTCTGGCACAGGGCTAAGTGCCCAGTGTATTGTAAAATAAATGTGGACACACACACAAAATTCTTGTCACTCTCCTGTTCAGAATCTGCCAATGGCTGCCCACCTGATACCCATGGCCCTCCTGGCAGGGAGCCTGGCTGTCCTCTGATATTTACCCACGCTCTTCCTGTCCCACAGCACTGTTCCTGCTGCCATGACACCCCTGCCACTGGGCTCTAGTGCCACTGCTCCATGAAACGTTCTGCTGGGAGTTGATGCCTTTAACAACTGCCTGCCCCACCCCCAAAGACTTGATGGCGTTGCTTTTTTTTTTTTGTTCTGTCCCCCAGGGTGGAGTGCAGTGGCATGATCTCGGCTCACTGCAACCTCCGCCTCCCGTGTTCAAGTGATTCTGTCTCAGCCTCCCGAGTAGCTGGAATCACAGGCACATGCCACCATGCCCACTAATTTTTGTATTTTTAGTAGAGACGGGATTTCACCATGTTGCCCAGACTGGTCTCGAACTCCTGACCTCAAGTGATCCGTCTGCCTGGGCCTCCCAAAGTGCTGGGATTACAGGCCTAAGCCACCGCACCCGGCCTCTTTTTTTTTTTCTTCGTGTTTTAATCGGTGATGGGGTCTGGCCCCATCACCCAGGTTGGAGTGCAGTGGCACAATCATGGCTCACTGCAGCCTCATCCCTTGGGCTCAGGCGATTCTCTTGCCTCAGCCTCCTGAGGAGCTGGAATTACAGACGCCACTATCACGCCCGGCTAATTTTCAGATTTTTTGTAGAGACGGAGTGTTGCCTTGTTGCCCAGGCTAGTCTCAAACTCCTGGGCTCAAGCGATCCTCCCGCCTCCGCCTCCCAAACTGCTGGGATGACAGGCGCTGCTTCATTGAGTACACTGGCTTCTGTACTCAGCTCACAGCCTGGTGAGGCAGGTAGGGCCTGGCTGAGCCTACCCTGGGGTCAGAAGGGCGAGGGGCCTGGGCGGCTGGTCAAGCCTAGGAAAGGCCGGGGTCAGTGTGAACGGGACCGAGGTATGAGGCGTTCGCGCCGCGGGCGCGCCGACCCCTCTGCTCACAGGGGAGGAGCGGAGGGAGGCCTGAAGCGCTTGCCAAAGCCGCACACCTGGAGGGGACAGAGCCTTCCCCAGCCGCTGGCCACCACTGGACCTGCCCTGACCTGGGGACGGGAAGGGCTGGGGAGGGAAATGGAGGCCCAAGCAGGTCCCCCGCAGTGTCTGCGGCCTGTGCCTCTGGGGCCACCTGGCCAGGGAGGGCAGGAGGTGCCCCGCACATCCCTGAATGGCCGCAGGGCAGGCGAAGGAGACTGCCGGGTCCCAGCTTGTGGGACGGGCCCAGGCGACGGTGACCACACACGGTAGACACTCCGCCTCCATGAGGGGCAACGCCCCCTAGGCCGCTTGCGAGGACATCCGGCCGCGCCCGGCCC